AAATTCAATATTATATTATAATATTTTATGCATGTCTTATATTTATAGATCGTTTTAAAAAACAATATATTTGCAAAATCAATTGTTTTTAGAATATATTTAAATAAATATTTGTTTTTGTATTATTCGATTAGTATAAAAAAAAATCAAAAATCGTCCTCAAATTCATTTTTCCATGTATATCATATATTTCGATTTTCATTCATTTCCTCATTCGTTCATTTCCTCCCTCATTCATTCCCTCCTTCGCCTCATTCTCCCTCATTCATTCCATCTTTCGTTCGCCCTCCCTCACTCATTCCCTCGCTCATTCACTCTCTCCCTCACTCCCTCCCTCACCTCACTCTCCCTCACTCACTCCCTCACTCGCTCTCCCTCCCACTCACTCACTCCCTCCCTCACTCTCTCAAATCACGCGAATAATCTCGCATCTCGGATCTCGAATTACATACAAAGATCGGATCATATTGGCTTTTCGCGGCTTTGGCCCAAGCAACAAAGGTGGCGAGGTTATATGGACTTGCTTCACAGCCGTTCTTACCAAAACTCTTCCAGCAAGCAGGAATACAATCGCTCCGGCCTTCCCCCTCCTAGTGAGTTCTCTATACATAGTGATCGGCCCGAACAAGTGGTAGGCAATGGACAGAAAAATTTAGTCTGTTAGACAAAAATAATTCAATGCAAATTTATTGTATAATATCAGAAGATGGCTACAACTACAAGCGAATATATAGCTGGTGATTTTGAGGTATAACATTATTGGAGAGACTCATACGCAAGTCAATCCATAACAGATTTTGACCATACACAATTATATATTAATACCTAATATCATCTAGATATTCGTATTTTATATCCAATCCACAATTTAAAAATTAATTTAACCGATAAAATCCGGTTCGTTAGATTATTGTTTTTTAAAACAAGGTTTGTTATGCAATTTTGAGTTTAGGTGATATTAGTAACCGTTTTACCTCAGGTTAAATTTCAATATTGCTTATATTTTAAATTAACTCACATGTTTGCCTAAGTGCATGTTTCCGACCTAGGAGGAGTCGAACAAACGTTATATTCTAATTCTAATTACTTTTAATTCTTGTTTCTAATAGCTTCTTGTTACTATTAGTAAGGCATTTATTACTAGAAGCGATGCACTTATTCCTAGTAGCGTCAAAAGAATCGTGGTATAGCAATAAGGAGAGCAAAATGAAAATTCCAAAATAATTCAGGTATTTCGAAATGGGCGCCGAGAAAATAATTCCAAAATAATCAATGCTTTTTGAAAGTCTGAAATTCAAAAATTTCCAAAATAATCAATGTTATTTCGGGTCCTTTCCGCTGACGCTAAAACCGAGCACCAAAATATGAAGCCGCCAAAAGGAAACATGTCTTCGCTGAAGCACCAAATTTGGGACTTTTGGACTGGCCGAATTGCGCGCGCGCCCCCATTGGTAGGCCTTATCGTAATATTGTAAGTAGTAATATAAGTAATCTATGAATTTAATGATATGTATTATATAGATTTAGCTTTCAAGTTCGTAAACAACGTCTGTGCGAAGGACGTATTTCACACCATCCTTGGAAAGGAATGATCCATATCGTACATTCTTCTAATCTCGATCAAAAGAATCATGTTTTCCGAATTTGTACATTCCCAATTGCATGTAAAGAAAAGAAGCCTGGAAAGCATCCAAACAAAGGCTCTTCCATTGCCAAGGCTCTTCCACTCCGGCACCTTCGTGCGTCATGCACTCATCTCCATGGCCGTGAAAAAGACAAACTCCACGGGTCGGTGGAAACGCCAATGCAGGACGCTTCCCATCATGGTCCTAGTAGCGTGCGATGGTGCTCCTAGTAGCGATGCACTTGTTCCTAGTAGCAAACATTGTTACTACTAGTAGGGCCCTTGTTTCTACTAGCTTCTTGTTACTACTAGTAAGGCACTTGTTACTAGTAGCGATGCCCTTTGCTCCTAGTAGTGATGGCTTCCAACCTAACATCAGGATTTTGAAGTTCGGCTTTTCACAATCTGCAGCGTTGATCAGTTTCTCTCTCGCACACAAAGCACGCACAGCACGGCTCAACATGATCTTGTAGCTTGCAAAGTCCTTCCAAAACACAGTCTCGCCACCCTTCACCTGCAAAGTCTATTCACACTCGGAAACGGCGGGAATAACGGACTTTGAACGGCCGAACATGAATCTACAGCGTCTCATGTTCGAACTGTCCCGCTTCTAGCTGCGAGCGGCCTCCAACCTAATGGCCTCCAACCCAATAGCAATAGCTGCTAGCTCGCCATCGCTTTTCTGCAATCAAAAGCTCTTTCTGCGGAAGGACCTGCACCTCCCTGTCTCTGTCTCCACCATTCAGGTAAACCAGCCTTAGAGAACACAAGTAGTCGAACTCAAGGAAAGCATTGCAAGCAGTGAAAGGACAACAGGAGGGGTAAGTCAGTACATGTCGGAGAGGTTGAGTCAAAGGACTGTAGGACCCCCCTCTCAAGAAGCAGACTGAGGTGGCTTGTCACCTCGAAACGGAAGATTTGGTCATGAAGACCTGGAAACTAAAGACCTGGTTCAGCCGACGCAGAAGGCGGAACACATTTCTTTGCAGAACCCGCATGCACGGTTGAAGCGACTCCGTCGTTGAAGCATATTTTAGCACGGGACACAAAGAACGCTACGAACGGGGCTCCTGGCCTTACTACTAGGAGCAAGAACGCTACTAATGTTTTCTTTACTAGGGAGGTCTCCAACGATGGAAGGAAAAAGAAAGCAAATTTGAAGGCTTGAGGAACAGTTACAAGAGACCCCCCCAAATCCACGCTGGACTGCTCTGAGTGCCATTTACCATTGTGCTGCTGCGTCTTCGCCTGCTGCTTCCCCGTCACTTGCTGCGTCGTCTGCCGCTGGTATTGCTGCTGGAATTGCGAAGTGTGCCAAAGAATACTATATATATATATATTTATTTGCTTTGAAGTTTGAAGTGAAGTTTCCCCAAACATTTAGAAACCAAATCAATGACGTGAGCTATCCTGCGTCCTACCTAGAAGCTAACTTGGCCTAGTAGCTTACTCCCTTACTCAAGTAATCACCTACTTACTTAAGTGGCGGGGCCTCGGGCTTAAAAAGACATGCGATTGTCACAAGTTCACAGTTCACTGCCGTACCACGAAACGTGAGGCCACAACAAAAGGCACGACGAGTTCAAACATTTGGCTCACACGTGCCGTTTCGCGCCCAACACGCCGTTGGTTTCTAACCACACACCGCGAACCGACTACACTCTCACCGTAAACCTGTATGCGAGCCCCCTGAGCCACAGAAAGACATGGGACATAGCAAAGATTCAAGTCTCGGCGCTCATGACTGATTGGATGATGAAATGCAATAGGATAAGATTGGATTTTAATGCAAAGGAAGAACACTGCACTAGAACCAAATGCAAGTTACAGGGAAGTCAGACAATAACAGTCAGATTTAAAAAAACACTAAAAACTTGAATTCCGATTTATTCCATTTGTTATGCGAAATCTTGAAATCCAGCTTGTGTTTATGCGAAGCCTTTGTGTTTACAGTGTCGAAGCAAAAGCAGAAGGAAAACGAGAGGATGGCGGATGTCAATGTGGGATGAGCGGAGATGTGAAGCACGATGAACATATATGGAATATTATGGAATCTTCAATCTAATAGCAATGGCCTCCAACCTAGTAGCTTATTGTAAATTACTAGTAATGCCCTTTGTTCCTAGTAGCGTTCTTGCTCCTAGTAGCGAGGCCAGGAGCCCCGATCGTAGCTTTTCTTGTTACGTTCGTAATGCCCTTTGGTGCACGAACGTAGTGAGTAAGAGAGTGAAAGTGCGTGTTGAGTCAGCGAAGGAGTAGGGCAGAGGAGAGGGCGGCCCGCGAAGTCTCCACACAAGGATGTGGAGGCCGTCGCTACGAACGGAGCAAGGACGCTGCTACAAGTAGGGGCTCCTGGCCTTGCTAGTAGTAACAAGAAGCTGCTAGTAGCTAGAAGCTACTAGGTGGAGGCCATCACTATTAGAAACAAAAAAAACAAACAAGTCTCCACGCAAGGATGTGAGGAAACCCTCACTGGAAAAGCCATACTTGTTCGCTGTTTCACACATTGTCTGGAGTGCGAATGCACTGGAAAAAGGGATGTCTTATTGCCGTTTGACTCATTGTCTAATCACATTCAAGCACCTCAAACCTCAAGTTACAGCAGGAGTCACTACATTAGCTGCACCAGGTACCAGTACTTCACTGCCTTTATGATTTCTGTGCTTAACAAACACATGTCAACCTCAAAATACCAAACGCTGCCCAGCTTCACCGTAAAATGGGTACGCCCACCAAGCTCAGGCTCATCACGGCTGCCATCGACGTGCTGTCCAAACCTGTGGAACATCTGCGGAACTCTGGAGGAAGCGATGGCCTCCAACCCGAGTCTTCCAGTAACAAGTGCCTTGCTACTAGGAACAAGAGGCTACTAGGAGCAATAAGAAAGAAATTACTTAAAAATAGAAAAAGAAACCTAACAGCAATGGCCTCCAACCTACTAGCGACGGCCTCCAACCTACCGATTTGGCTATTGGACTTGCTCACTCTCTGTTCAAGGACAAAGCAAAGCCACACGGTTGCTTCTTGACTTTGTTTCACAAAGCTAGGAACTCACAAGGCACACAGTTTGCGCTGTTTGACATGAAGAATCCGTGTTTGAGGCACTTAGACAATCTTACCCCTGTCACTGTCTGGTTGGAGGCCGCGACTCCCTCGCCGCCGCACGTCCGATCCGTGCCTTTGTCCTTTCACGTATCGATAGACCCGGATCCGCGGAGAGCAACCCAAAGCACGGCGACCCCCCACGGTCTCTGGCACGAAGCCCTCGGAAGGACGGGGCCAAAAGGACCGCCACCCGAACGAAGGAACAAGAGTACGCTACTAGTAACAAAGGGCATCGCTATGAACGGAGCGATCGGACGCTAAGAAGCTACTATTTGTTATGACCAAATTAAAGCAAGTGTTGTGCCTCAAGTGCCTAAGCATTGCTTTCAATGGCCATAAACTCTCTGTGAAAATCTGTGCAAGCTAAGCCAGGAAAACCAACACTCAAAGGATGTCACTACACGGACTCGAGGCCGTTGGGCCTTCATGCGCAACCAAATCTGGTAGGCCGTGTCCATGCAAAAGAACCTTAGAGCCAAAGGGCCAGGAACCTTTATACCACCAGCGACAATCATGATTCAATTTCTCGCATGTCCAACCCTTCCAAATCACTACCCCCCAGCTTTGTTTTGCCAACTTGTTTTGACACTTGAGAGTGACAAAAGAGTGGCTCTACTATTCCATTTGACAGCTAGAAGCTCTATGCGTCCATTGTTGCGGTGTGCATAGGTGGAGTTTTGCTTCCTCAATGCCGCTTCGCATTGATCAACGCTGGCAAAACATGTGATGCATTTCAGCTTGCATCTGTTTGCATCAAATGACATGCAGTTTGTTGGCATGCATAGAACACGTTCCGAATTCCGGCAAAGCTGGATCCCCGTACAAACTTCGGACTAGACAGGACCACTTGATGTTAGACACCTACAGTAGCCAGTGCACACAGCATCAGTATTTGTCAAAGCACAACCGTGCCAACTGTGCCAGGTATCTGTTTTGCTTCGTCAAAACCATGCTTCTCACCCCAGGTGATCCAGCCATGACATTCTTCCTGGAAAGAACACGGATATATAACATGTAAAGAACAAAATAAAAGCAAGGAAAAGAAAAGGTCTAAAAATTAGAATGAGGTCCGAACAAGTCTTCGTCGGATTCGTGCCTTCACCCTTCTTTACTTCCCTTCTTATAGGTTGGAGGCCATCGCTATTTTGTTGGAGGCTTCTTTACTTCTTATCCTTTCTTCTGCGTTTTTCTTTGGGCCTTTCACCCGGGTTTACTTCAATTTCTTTTGCTTGGCCACATAGTACAATCAACTCTCACCTAGAAAGGAAACATGCGGGCATCGGGTGCAAAATGTATCCACGTACGCATGCATACGTGCTCGATATCCACATCGCTCAATCCACTGCAGCGCCCATACACTCACCAAACCAATGGAAAAGGGTAACAATACATGCAGCACCTCCCACAGTACCTACACATTTGTAACGTCCAAGTGCAAATGTCCAGTCGCAGCAGTTCGTAACCCTTGAAATGCACATTTCGCGGCAGGCACAGTATTCGAGGTGTGTGTGTGTGTGTGTGTCATGTGGGTGTGCTCTCGTATGCAAGCTGTCACTCTCTAAAGCGTGCTCTCACCTGTTCTCACATGTGTCCTCTCAGGTGTCTGTGCGTGTGCTCTCTGGCTCGCGCGCTCTCAAACGGGTGCTTGCAGATATGTGCCCGCATAGACGTGCTCTCATGGGTCTCATATGTGTGTGCGTGTGTGGTCATATGATCAAGTGAATCAAGTGTTTCTTCTCGTGTGTGCGTGTGGGTGGGTGTCTGTCTCTCTCTCTCTCTCACTCAGGTGTGCGCTCTCATATGTGTGTACATTACGTTGGACGAAATCTGCTGAAGCAAAGTGAGCGTGGTAATGTTCGTTGAAAAAAAAAACGCATCGCAGAATGCCTTTAGAATCTCGAACCCTACGACAAACAAGTGGTGTCATATTAGGTCTAGGACACGGATTCTATTTATATAGTTGCGCATGGTTATAGTAGAATATATAGTATAATAAATGTGCACTGTCTGTCTCGTATGATGCTTGGCACTTGCATATAGAACCCCTTTCCTGAAAACGAAACACAAAACAAAACAATTCAGCAAACTTGCATCTGACGCACAAAACCTTTAGCATACTGTTTAATACAACATCAATTGCATCAAGCAATAGCAGTACATAGCAAAACCGAGCATTCAATACATTGCACAAAAGGACTGCAAGGTTGATGCGTTTAAATGCCCTCTCTACCACCCTTAGATGACATTTGGATCATCAAAAAGTAAGGCTTAGCACAGGAAAGACGCCTCAATCTTATGAATCATAGTCAACGTATTTCCCTTTGTTTGTCACAGGTTTTCAGGAGACTTGTGATGTAATTATATATATATATATTTATTTGTAACTATATGCAATGTATGCTCATGTCAAGATGAGGCGCCGAGAATGTATGTTATGACACAACCTCTCAAATGTTGCTGCTTTGCACGCGCACACACGCAACGTGGCCGAAACAAATAAGTTGGCACCCCACTCCATGCAAGATCCAACGACACCAGAATGGACCCTTTTGAAAAGACCTTTTTGAATAGCGATGGCCTCACGACATCAAACGCAGAGAGGTTCTGGCACACGTCCCAATCAGGCCTCTGTGAAGAAGTTGTCTATGGCGCTAATGCCTCACTCGCAGAGTGATGCATGATGATGCATGTGCAACGACTTCTGAAAGAGAAAAAGTGAGAATGAATACCGCATAGCATTCAAACGTTTGCCACAAGCAACAAATCACAAACCTGCACTGCCTTCTGCTAAACTAATGTTCCACCAGGTTCAATTGCTTTCGAGGTTCGAGGCCATCGCTACTAGGTCAGTCTAAGAAGTTCGACTGTGCACTTAAAAAGATATCAGTTCCAGGGACGCACTGGGTGGCTGAGCAACGTGATGTGTTGCAGCTGAAGCTTTCCTCAGTGAAGCTGTTCGAAGGAAGTGGCCCGATGCAACGGCCCTTCGAAGGACATAAAAAACGACTGAAAGTATAAAGAAACATATGATGACATTAATTACTGTCAATTCTACTTTATTGTTTCCAATAGCTTCTTGTTACTAGTAGTACGGCCAGGAGCTCCTAGTAGCGTCCTTGCTCCTGGTAGCGATGCCAGGAGCCCCTAGTAGCGTCTTGTTCCTAGGGTATGTATCTTTTGTTGTTTCCACTTTCAGTATTGATTTGTCTCTTTTCGTTTGTACTTGCTTTCTTTCATGATTTCCTCAATCGATGTTGTGCAAGTTGGTGCCTTTCTGGGAGACACAACTACCAAGCCTAGTCTCTGGGCAAAGCTACCAAGCCGAGACCCTCGTCTTCCTCTCGAGGCAACGTTCGTAGCGATGGCCCTCCACCGTGCGTAGCTTTGGTCGTTACTCCCCTGCAGATTAACATGGAACCCAAAACCGCTGGGTTGTAGAGGACAATGATCTTTCACCGGTCAATTCTCAGGTTCCACGTTAATTTGCTGGCGAGTACTAAACAGGATTTACCAAAGCTAAGTGAAGCAAAACACACAGAACGTTTCTACCAAGATATGCGTCACGGTGGCCATGTCAAAGCTACCTACCACACAAATCACAAGCCCTTTACCGCTGCAACCTCCAGCTCCGGTGGAAGTACAGGGGGCACTGAGACTTGAAGCTGCCTTGCCAGGTCAGGAGCTACTAGTAGCGATGCACTTGTTCCTAGTAGCGAGGCCAGGAGCCCTTAGTAGCTTCTTGTTACTACTA